AGAAAAGAGTCAGATTTGAAATATTTATCAATTTCTGCTTTCATTACTGCGGCCATATCAGGATCAAAATGCGATTTTTGTTGTGTTGTTTCAGGCATCATATACGATTGAGTAAATAACAGCTATCACTAATTTGATTGACTTTATATCAACAGCGATAATTTAAGTTTCTTGCCTGTTGCTTTCAGCAAAATTATTGACTCATCGGAGCTCCAAAATACACGTCTGCTCCCTCGGGCACGATATGGGTATCAATCAGGCTAAGGGCTATTTGTGGAAACACTTAAAAAATTATTTCTTACCCCTTCAACGAAATCAAGCATTCTGAGCATGCTTCAAATTTACTGTCCTGTACCCAAAGTGTCCTACAAAAATGGTCTTTGTGTGCAAAACCAAAGTTTAACTCAAATGTGGACAAGCTTTGGAAAGCAGCAACAGCTGGAAAAACAAGGGTTTTACCTAGCAGTCAATGGGAGAAAATGTGGAAATAATTTTGTTCCCTGGCTTCAAATTCTGAATTTATTTTAGAATTTGTAGTGTACCTCACCCCTGCTTTAAGCCCACGACCAATTTCAAAGCTATTCATACAATTTCTTACTCAAAAGTTATTTGAAAAAATTATTTTGGCAATAATGAAGGCTGGTGCAAAGTCTGAAAGTTTGTGTATGGAGACCCAAATGAACAACGTGGAGGAAAATATTTTAAGATGTGCTGCTGGATATGTTTCATTTGCCTTACGAAGGCAGTGTTTAAAACGAGAACATAACAGTTGAATGGAAGCAAAAGGCAAAATGCCGCAGTGATTTAGAAGTAGAAATGAAGACGAAGAATTATACTCTTTTCAAGTATACAAGATGTTGGATTGCAAAATAAAATCGAGGTGGTCTCGTAACCCTCAATGATAAATCATATTTATTTTTCAGAGCAGTGGAACACCACTATCAATCCGGTAAATCAACTGACATTAAACTGCCTGTTTTAAACTCAGTATTCAAAGATAAACATGCCCTCGAATGTTGGACAAATGCTACTGCAGATTACAGTGCCACAGTATCTGTACCTTTCATGCAAATGTGTGTCAAGTTATGGGTTAACATTAGAGGCCATGCATTTTCATCCAACTGGATCGAACAGTTTAAGCAGGCTCGAAAAGTTGAACAATCTACCAATAAAGCACTTCGGAAAAGCCTTAAGAACTTGTCTAACTTGACCATGGTAACATACTGATGAAATGTACTATCTAAAGTATCCTATCACAATATAGACAATCCAGTTTTAATCTCCTGGGGCCGGTTGTTGGAAAAGTGGATACAGGGCCTCCCAGTGAAATTTGAGGGCCTATTTCCCCCGAAAATGTTGGCGGACTGATTCCCCAAAACTATTTTACTACCCATAATCGGAAAAATCTGACCATATCTTGAGCTACACTTGATACCCCCTGGATCTGCCCCTGAAGTTTATGGTAAATGTCAATTGCCTGGCACCAAGAGCACTGCAAACTTTTACAGTAACCGGGTTGCTTCTCTGTGTTATGTTCTAAAATTTTAGATTTGTACATAAAATGTGAACATTCTGAGGCATTGTCACCTAAACGAAATTATTTTTCCTAATGGGTGGTAACATTTCCTTTCTCATATCATGGGAGACAAAAGTATTAAAATATTTTGAAAACTGGGAAGGTCCCATTTTTAGACAGTAATTTTAATTTATCATCAAACACATCAGTACTCTTGCAATCAATTAACCCTTTCTCAAGTGCCGTAAGCCCAGTTTACACAAGCAAATTTTATTTCACAAATTTCATATGTCAAAGATATTTTGTTCGTGTAGATGATAAATTTGTGACAAATTTATTGTGACAAATGCATTTGATCAAATGAAATTTGTCAAATAAAATTTGCTTGTGTAAATGGGGCTTTATCATTTCCAAATATATCACACATTATGTCATGTTTCAGAACTCCTGTGATTCCAATACTTGAAATTTTCATTTAATATTATCTTGAACATGTTTAGTGCAGCGAACCAATATGGGGCCTTTTAATGCCCCCCCAGGGGGGGGGGGGGAATCTCCTAGGAATATCGCCCCCCTTTAGGAATTTTGCCACCCCACCCCCCCATATAAATTTTGAATTTTTTATCTAAAAACAAAATGATTGCAAGTTGAAAAGATTTATTGTGTGATTTATTTATTTATTTATTACAAGGAGACAAAATTATATACACATTTTAGGCTTCTTAGCAACTGGTGGTGTGCACGATCTGCATAACCACTCATTTGAGGTACTTAGACTAGTGTCATATTCTACACATTTAAAGTGGAACCATCACAGAGATCGCATAAAATCATGTTGTTGTATTCTTCTGGCAGTTTACATTCACATAACATATTATAAAAACAATCGCTTGCAAATTTTATCAATACCAGTGTTAACAATAGCCGCCACAGTAATCACTTGCTAACAATAAACTATAGGATTAATAAAAAATATATGGAATGTGTTGGGTATATTATTGGAGTATTGCCTATTGGCAAGTTCTACCCTTTGCTTCTGAGATTTACAACCTACATTGAAATAATGCAAGTAAAAAATAGTGACAACTTATAAGCCATACATTTTGAAACAATATGGCCACACAAAACTATAGAACTTTAAATGGGATTTGTGAGAAATACGGCCTTACCTCTAAACTCTTTTTGAAAATGTTCTATCGGCTTTTGTTTCCAGATGTAAAACCTGATATTTTGATACAATAGATGGCATTCAGATGTTGATATCTCTTGCAGTTTTGAAGCAAATAGCCAACACTGTATGAGCAATAGGAAATGTAGATAATGACATCCAATTCTCGGTTTTTGCTACCAATCTCAGTTTCTCGTGAGAACAGGCAATGATATGCGAAATTTTCTATCTGTAAAAAAACACCAAACGATGATCATGAACACTCATCAGTGCAAAAAACGTGAAAAATATATATCTCTTGTGGTTTCAAAATCAGCATGTTTTTGGGTTGTATTTGATCAAAAACCGGCCCTTTTTCCATCAAAAACTCTTTGAAAAAGAACTGAAGCTGTTTTTCATCATCCATCTTTGCTAGGCAACCAAACCTTGATTTGTTGCTATGGTTTCAAAGCATTTTTGTCATTTTCAGTGCCATATATCGGCTATTTTTTGCTGCTGTCATTTTGAAGTATCTGATTTTATTTAGCGTACACAGCTTGCATTGTGATTCGCTGGAATAAAATTAGAACAATCTGTGTTCAATGCAGTTCAATGTGCTCACATATGCAACTCACATCGGCCAGGATGACAATAACATTCTGCCCAGACACGCGAAAAAACTTTTTCTGCCTTCTTAAATGCTGCTTGGCAGTTTTTTACTGTCAAAAACTGTCAAATAGCTTTCACGAAGTCCGTAATGTCTGCATTACCAGGGAATAAGCAGAAATTGAACTTCATTATTCATGGTGAAACTCCACAGAATAAGCTTGATTTATGTCCACAACCAAGCAATTGCAGAAAATGAGGTTATGTATACCTTTTGGATAAACAATTCTGTATTGCTCAATATCGCAAATAAGCCAGCAGGGAAAAATTATATAGATATAATAATCTGATCCCCTGATGGTGTTATTAAGATTACAGCAGATTCTAAACGAATTAATGAGAAAGTAAGGATTTTGTGCTGGAAAATCAAAGAAAAAGTAAAAAAGCTAAGCAGATCTGCGGCTAAAACCCCCAATGAAATGATTTCTTAGAGGATTTTTCAAAACTGGTTATTGATGTTATGACTGCATGGGAATACGAACAGGACAAAGAAAGAATGGGAAAAGAGGCGATGGATTTAAGGTGGCTCCCTACAGTTGTCAAAGCATGGGACTGGTAACAAAAAAAACAATTTGTGCATTGCGGGACAGATTTGCGCAGTGCGAGGAAATGTCGCGTGAGCGGGGAACGGTATGGAATTTTTAAATGCCGATAGATACAAATTTAAAAAATAAATAAATATGCAGAGTAAACAACATTTCGATGAAAACTGTAGACGGAAAGAGAGTACTATTTAAACAATCAAATCCTGTATTGGCACTAACCTGTGACGAGGTTTTATCTCGTTTTATCAACTACCTCGAGAATTCTGTTCGCGAATGCCAGAAATCGACAGCACACAAGGTCTGTACAGTTCTTTCGAACTTTCGAAGCGACCTTTAATGGAAAACAGCCTTAACTTTAAAGGCCGAGACACACATGTTGATCAAAGTTTTTCAAATATTAAGAAGCACTATAACATTTCGAGTTATTTGGTCTTCATATTGTTAAAATTTCATTTCATCAGCTGTTCTTGCGCTGTTGTAGAATCCCATCTGATGTGTCTCGGCCTTTTAAGTGTTTTTCTGCGTTTGACGTTGTTATATAAGAAAGGTCTATTCTGCATAAATATCATCATCAGCTATTAAATCAAAGATTTTGTGTGCAGCAGCCTTTGGTAAAGATTCGGATATTTTAACCTACATATATCTTTGTCTTAAAATGACAGTGCATTGGCCTTCAGAATGAGTCTAATCCACCATCTTGGGTATTTGGTATGGATTGCAAATTTCTCTGGAGGACGGAATTGCAAAACGATTGCCAGAAGATCAATCCTTATACAAAGTGCTTGGTGATGTTAATGAGAGCAAATTACCACTCTTCAATGACATCAAAGTGTTGTTTAAAAATGAATTTCTACCTGTTTTGGGAGAACCTAATTATCAAATTGTTTATTAATAATTAAAAATTCAAAAAATAAAGAATTTAAATGTTTTTCAGTGTTACAAAAAACTAAAAATTACATTATTTTGCAGGATAACCTGATTCAGAAGAGTCTCTTGTCGATCTTATCGCAACCATGAAAAAATTCATGGGAAAAAATTTCCAGCTGTCCTTATTGGCAATTGGTGGTCTAGTTCTGGCAGTCCATTACGACCAAATAATGAATATGGAGATGGCGTGCCACTAATAATGGCTTATGGTTATCCTGTGATAGAAAAATCGACTGCAGTTGATGCAGCTATGGCCACCATTGGACAAAGAAACAATATTGGAGGTAAATTTCTTCGTTATATACTTGGTAAGAAGTGACAAGACACCTGGTGATGGCCATTTGACAGTTTACAGACAACCCAAACACATATATTTTGTGCCATGACCTCATGATTATGCACAGAGCTTAATAAGTTATTTCCCATATATATAGCAGTTTTTTTTATTTAAAATGTGATAACTTAAACAAAAATTAATAGTCAAGTTTCTGCTTTTATAGCATGTACCGTCGCCCTAAATACGATCTGTGAACAAACGCTTCCATTTTGATGGGATGATGCAAACAATTTCAGCGCACTGGAGAAACTAGCTTTAGCCACTTTTAATAAGGTAAAATCTTTTTACACATTAAAAACGGCATGTTTTGAAATCTAACAGTACGAGGCAATGTCATAAATTGTGAAAAATTTGGTGCAGTTTATCTGGCAAATCACCGATTTAAATCATGTACACCCTCAGAAAAATCACAAAAAAATTAAAAAAAAACAAAATTAACAAAAATTTTAAAATCACAAAAACCAATTTCTGAGGTTAGTTCTAATTTACCCTTTTGTTTGTTCTGTCAAGAGTAGTAAAAGACATAAAGGCCCTGTCACACTATTGCGTATCATACTAGCGTATGCCAGCATATGAAAAATATCACTCATATGCCAAGCGCGGTCGCATACGGTGACATACGCTGGCATACGGCGAGGCAGAAAATCTTTTTAAGAATGGTCAAAAATTTTGTGCATATTCGGATATATTGTTTATATGATAAGCATACTCTAGGCACACACTGAATACGCTGGAGGCATGCCAGATGTATGCAACTCATACGCTGGCATTTCAAAGGATTTTTGTGTGTATGAAAATGATTTCATTAATTTTAATATGCTTCTCATACGTTTCTCTCATACGCAATAGTGTGACAGGGCCTTGAAAGGGAAAATTACCATGGCAAAAAGTGCCAAAAAAGCAAAGAATGACTAGGGAAAAACACCAAGAAAATTTGAAGAAATAGCTGAGTACTATGGGGAGAAAGGGTTTTGAAAAAAAATATAAAAAATCCATGAAAAATAAAAAAATCACAAAACAATCACGCGCAAAATTTGCTCCTTGACTTTATCAACAAGTGATATATTCTTGTGCATAAACGAAATAGCATATAATGTATAATATCAACACAACAGTGAATTGGACAATGATTACTTGGCTGGCATGCAGTAAGCTTTTTTCATTTCTATTTCTCTTTATGACTATTTTTTCTAATTATTTTTATAATATGAAGTAAAAAAAAGACAGGAAAAAAAAATTCAAAAACAGTCTGAAGTTACAGCAGAACCCAGAACAGTACCGCTGATAACAATGAACCAACAGACTTTACCAAAAGGTGTGAGGAATGATGCTGAAAAGCTGTCCACCAATTTGATGGTTCCATATGGAGCCGTTAATATTAACCACAATGTTTACTGTAATCTTATATACGTAGCCTATGGTTGAAATAGGTGGAAATGATTTGAAACCATTCAAAATATTTAAACATTCCTAAAGTGTATTAAGATACTGAATGGAAAAAAACTATATTATATTCCGTTCCCGGCGTAAGCCCGGGGTGAGGGTACTAATTCCACCCAGGTATTTACACCAGGGCAACCAAAAGCATTAGCGAAGTCTAAAGTTCATCAATGATCGCGGGCATGGGTTACTGTGCCTGGTTCGGTGGGTGGTCATCTCACTGATCTCTAAATATGGCTGTTTGCCAGGAGTGAAGAGGAAAAAAATATAAAAAATACACGTCAGAAAGCTTGGAAAATCATTTCACATAACAAATTGTAAAACGTTTTTACAACTTTTAAACGTAAACATTTAAAAGAATTGATTTAATATGAGAAATCCTAACTAAGTATAGGGCAAGTTTGTTTCAATTGTTTATGTATGACTTTGTATTAATATAGACTTTGTTCTTGATGTTCAAGTCTTTCCTATGCATTGTTTCCGAACATTTCTCAGTTAAACTAACTTTTGTAGAAGTTCATGATAAAAAGGAAAGCAAATTATTTTCATTAGCGTCCTGTCCAAATTAAATTTATTTCATTTCAAAGTGTGAGTAATAAGTTGAAGCTCGAGTTGAAGAGTTTATAAATATCAGCAAAAAGCAGTTCATTTCAGTTCACATTTAAAAAGTTTTACATAGAGTTTCGTTTTGCATTTACATTAAAATAAAGCCCATAGAAACCAAAATATTATACCTACTTTATATATTTTTGAGATTGATGTTCTGTATTAAGTGTTAAAATTTCATCTATTTTTTGCAGGTTTGTACAAAAAATTAAAAACACAATTATCGTGTTGCCATTGACTAACATGACCACTAAGCTGTATAATAACTTTGTTCAGTCAATGAAGTGTCCGCAAAAACGTGGAGGATTTTCAGGCAAAATGACGCCATTTCCATGACTACTGGTCCCTAAATTCATGGTAATTGCCACCGAACAAGGCTCAAATATGAGCCCACCACAGTTTTCACACACCCCTTCTGGTTTTTATAAAAATATTTCTGCTTTTTGCAGTGAATCACTGAATCCTTGTTGTTTTGATATTTTTGACATATTTTTTCGACTGTTGACCATTTGTTCAAAGATGTGGCAGCCGTATGTGTTAATTCTCGTCCGTGGAGTGTGAAAGACAACAAACAACTATTAAAACCTCGCGAAATGTGTGCAAAAATGATACTTCAAGCTAGAGCAAACAGCCGTAACAGACTATATAAACAGGTATTAAAATATTTTAAATATTGGGAATAAATGGTAGAATGTACTCTATTTTTTTAGACAATAATCCAAGAGTATTTATAATGTGGTTGTAGATGAACCTATCAACTTTAAAATATAATAATTTCATCCCTCAATCCCAAGGAATGGTTGTGCACTTGTGCATGTATATGAAGACATGAAACTAATAATGATTTGCTAGTATATTAAAGAGGGAATTAAGGTTTAGATATTTAGCCAAGGGTTTGTTATGCATTAGCTTGTGGTGAACAGGTGCAAGACAAAGCGCGGCTGATCTGAGAATGCATGTTTTATCCAGGATTTACAATTTGTGTTCTCTCTGATATAGTTTGTTGTATGTAACTTAAAAAGGCCATTAGCTTGTTTGCCTCCTCCTTTGATCGAGTATTGGGAGAAAAATATCAAGATTTTCAGTGAGCAAACCAGGGGGGTGAAGTACATCGTCGAAAGCTTAGGATCACGGTTGGGACAGTGGTAGTTGCCATGAATCTAGGGACAGTCATGGCAATGGCATCAGATCTGCCATGTTTTTGTGGACACTTTTTTATCCCGAGCAGGTCCTCCAGTAATATAGTATAGCTCAGTGAACATGACGTGGCAACGTGAGCCTGTGTTCAGTATTGGCATAATTACAAATACTTCATGTTGAAACAATGTTTGGAAAATATAGGTGAGGGGTTGTTGCATGCATGTATTTCTAGTTGTATTATATACACATAGATTTACAAAATTTCTGAAAAAAGGCTTTCTGAAAAAAGGTATCAATTTCCTGTGCGTAATACAAAATGACTAATTAAAAATGGAAAACTATGCAGGGCTATATTATCCGCATTTTACAACATTTCCCAATGAAACTTCGGAATATTAATAATTTTTTGATTTGTGATGCTCTTTCAAGCTGTGATGAAATTTTTGTCTAGACTTGTCTAGATAAAAAATTTGTTCATTAGGGAATAGGTACATTCTAACAAACAAAATTCCAAGCAATGCCATAGTCATAGAGGAACGAGCAAATACAGGCAAGTAACATTTTGAAACTGTATCATTAAATCATCTCTAATACAAGTGTTGTTCGAGAATAATTTTGATTCTTAATTCGTTAATATTTCATTACATATTTTAGGACCATTTAATGAAGAATTAGATCAATTGAGTGGACCTTCGAGTAATGAAAAATCATCCACATTGCTTCTCAGTGGTGGGTACAATATATAATCACATAATTATTTCAGTTAGTATAAGATACATACAGAGCTGCAAAGTCTCACGGTTTACCTGCAAGTCGCCAGGTTTACACACCACTGACCTCCAGGTCTCAATCCGTATGTATTTGTAAAATGACACTTTTGACTCAGTCTTGTTAAAAAAAAATAGTAGCGTGGCTATTTGAGTAAACTTAGATTTTGTGATCTTGAAGTAAACGTAATCTAAACATGAATTATGTGTGTGTGTGCGAGCTTATTTTTTATTACACACACATATATGGCAATCTGGTTCCCCAAGCATGCGCGGTCAACAATAATATAAAGTCAACAATAATATAAAGTCAACAATTTATACACAATTTGATTAATATTTTTCAGTATTTAATATTGTCTGTGCTACTGTCTGGCTATATGATCAGTATGTATTAAATAACATAGATATCACTAATTGTGTACACATTCTCTGGTTAAAAAGTTTTTAACCAGGATTCATAATTAATTCTGTACACATTCTCTGGTTTCGCTTCCAACAATTGTGATAGATACACTATTATCACATATATCGCTGTCAGGGGGGGGGGGGGTTACAAACTACAAACTAAAGGCCCCAACAACCTCAAGGTTTTTAATTATCTGAACTTGGAAGCTCTGCACATACAATATGAATGCATACAGCATCTCCTTTTTTGTGCCTAATCCATTGGGCCAGTTTAGCTGTTAGTAAAAAAATATTAAAAATACTCAACAACAAAAATCACTCATTCTGTACATTCATATGTATCATAGATAATAACACTAAATCATTGTCTGCAATTCCAGCAAGCAAAATACCAAGCAATGCCATAGTCATAGAGGAACAAACAAATACAGGCAAGTAACATTTTGAAACTGTATCATTCAATCAGCTCCTGATACAAGTGTTGTTCGAGAATAATTTTGATTCTTAATTCATTAATATTATATTACATATTTTAGGACCATTTAATGAAGCATTACACCAATTGAGTGGACCTTCAAGTAGTGAAAAATCGTCCATGTTGCCATTCAGTGGTGAGAATATAATCACATAATTATTTCAGTTACTATAAGATACACAATATGGATGCATGGTGGCATCTCCTTTTTTGTGCCTAATCGATTGGGCCAGTTTAGCTGTTAGTAGAGAACATTAAAAATACACAACAACAAAAACCATTCATTCTGTACATCCATATGTCTCCACAGATGGTAACACAAAATCATTAGCTGCAATTCCAGCAAACAAGATACCAATGCCATTGTCACAGAGGAACAAGCAAATACAGGCAGGTAAAATTGTGCAACTGTATCACTAAACAAGCTTCAAATACAAGTGGTATAATACAATTATGATCAGGAAATTAAATATTGCCAACATTGAAGGATAATGTGCACCCTAGATATATCACTATTGCATGCATGACTGCAATACTTGGAGATGACAAAAAAGGCAAAACTATAGTAATGACATTTTTCACTTTAAATATCTATAATAACTAGAAATACATGCATGCAATAACCCCTCGCCTGTTTTCAAAAGATGTATACTCAGTGCCGTTGCGAGCACTTCGTCTGAGGGGGTGTGTGAGGTTAGATAGGGGGAGGGGGTGGTTACCAAAATGTTTCCAGATGTACAAAAAATTTTCAGGACATATAATAATTTTTCCGCAAATACAGTTGTTTTCCAAATTCACTTTCTCATGTCCCGAGAATTACCTGAATTCCCCTGAAAATCGTCTCCAAATCTACTTAAATTTACCTAAAAGTGCACTGGAAATCTATGCACACACAATGTAGGCCACAGTGGAGTAATTAAAAGAATGCAAAGGTATTATACTATCATGTCAACTATATTTTATTGTTAAAATGTATTTATTTGACTAATTTAAGAATGTTTTTAAAATAGTTTTGGTTGACTATAAATTTGTTTATAAAAACTGTTAAAAACCTGCAACACCTGATCATTCATTCTGAGATTGGGCCGCCTGTGATTGAAAACGAGAAATACAATATACGAGTAATATTTTGTGCAGGGTTTATTGAGAACGAAAAATACAATATATGTGTAATATTGTGCGGGGTTTATTGAGAATGAGAAATACAATTGAAAATAGAATATAGATTATTTGATTAACGATTCCCTGATTATTTAAACACTGAAACATTTGAATAATTACGTCATTTCCTTCACTGCGTATCCCCGTATAATTGAAACTTAATATTTACCCAGTCCCTTTATTTAAAAAACCCAAACACTCGAATAATTACGTCATTTCATTCACTGCGTATCACCGTATCCCCCAGAATAAACAGTATCAGAAATGGACGGGTATTCTATAATCTAGCTTTAAAGACAGTTCAGATAAGCTTCAGATATTCTTTGTAAAGAGTAATAGACTAATATTTTATTTAAGATATACTAGCATAATCAAAGCCAGTTGAAGGTACCTACTAGTATCTTATATAATATTAAACAGAGTTAAATTGAGGGCTAAAGGTACACTTGAATCCTTTATCTTTAGACTTCATTATAAAGGCTCATTGTTTTACAAAATTACTGTATATGGTACTAAAGTGTAAATTAGTTTGTTTGTTTACAACTACATTCCAGACTACAAGGCTGTTTGCATAAGTCATCATTTAGCCTAAAGTCGCACCATTTTATCCTAGGTGCATTCTGTGTAATGTTCATGCCGGAAATTGGCATTATAAATTGTATATATTGTAAATTTTGAAAATCACGCTGGAAATCCTAGTTTGGAGTACATGGAATGCCAGCACCCTGTCATTTTATGTAATTAGATTCCTCCACATATTGTATTCTTCTCATGAAGAACTTTCTCCAAGTCCCTATTTCCCCGATCTACTATATTGCAAGTAACATGATGTAGTACAGGGGAGGGCAACATGAAATGCACTTGTCAACATCGGACCGTAAGTAAAGCCAACACATTACAAATCTCAGTAACCTATCTGTTCAAACCTGAACAGGTAAATTTTGAGTATAATACAATATAAACAAATTACTTCTAACTGGAGTAAAACTGAAGAAAATCCAAACAAGAACAAATAATACTAAACAGAACATGAAAGTTAAATACTTACTAAATTTAAAATGAGGAATGTAAACAAATTCTTTGGGATTTTATGCTGTGTCTGAATTTGACCCTATTTCACACTGTCTTCCTGAACAAAAAAGTCTGCAGATGACAACTTCAAGTCGCTAAAAAACCCATTCTCGATCGCTATCCGATATTTACCCCCCCCCTTTGTGTATCCAAAATTTCTCGCCATGAGAGTTTGCACTTTCAGCTTGGGTACCAGTTTTCACTGTAAATCTTTAGTGAAATATTTGAAATATTTGAGACTGAGTCTGCACTTTCAGCTTGGGTAGTTTTCGTAGTAAATCTTTAATAAAATGTTTAAAATAAAGTCTGCACTTTCAGTTTGGGTACCAGTTTTCACTTAAAATCTTTAGTGAAATGTTTGAGACAGAGTCTGCAATTTCAGCTTGGGTAGTTTCATAGTGAATATTTAGTAAAATGTTTAAGATAGGGTTTGCACCTCCAGCTTGGGTACCAGTTTTCACTGTAAATCTTTAGTGAAATGTTTGAGACAGAGTCTGCACTTTCAGTTTGGGTACCAGTTTTCACTTAAAATCTTTAGTGAAATGTTTGAGACAGCTAGAGTCTGCAATTTCAGCTTGGGTAGTTTCATAGTGAATATTTAGTAAACTGTTTAAGAGTCACAATGTTGGAACAACGTTTGGACATAGGCGTACCGGGCGGGGGGGGGGCGGTAGCCCCCCCCCCAGTTTTTTGGGCATTTGGCAATATTCGATCAACAGTCGGGCAATTTCGGTTTGCAATAAAAAAAAATGGGACAAATTCTGTCAATTTTGTCTAAAATTAAGTCAATTTATTTGCAAATTTTGTGATTTTTCGAAAATTTGTGTTATGTTCCGAAAAATATTGGTTGTCTGGAAAATTTTTTTGACCCCGGGAGGGGGGGGGGAGAGGTCGCCAAAATAATTTTTCCGGAAAAAATTTTTTGGTACTAGTCGGGCAGAATCCCGAAAAGTCGGGCAATTTTCTTTCCGCCCCCCTAATTTTTTCCTTCCGGTACGCCCATGCGTTTGGACATAACATGAGACAATGTTGTCACAATGTTGTGACATGACATTAGAAAAATGACATAAAAACCGATTTATATTTACGAATTCCCATGATTTTCACCTATTTCGGATTTTATTCACTCGTCTAACCTAATACAGTAGCAAACCTGGCAGAATTGATGGGATTTTTCAACTTCGTAATGTTGAAGAATGTTGTTTATGAGTATGCTTCACTCTGCTTTGGGAACTAAATTCACTTGATCGATTTGCATAAATATTAGACATATACTTAATTAGCAACATATAAATATAACAACTAGATCATGTTAACATGCATGCATAAACAACTCATAACTAGAAAATACATGCATGCTGAAACCCTCGCCTTCTGAAAAAACCATTGTATTTTCCGAACATGAAGTACTGTTACTACTGTGTCTAAAGTAGTTTAGTTGCCATGCTAACACGATAATTTTTTATGAATATTTTTACAAATGGACAATCCGCTAAAAATATCACTTTTAATTACAAAATTACCAATTTCCCAAACATATATATGTTAGGGTTGTTGTTATACGTAATATAAGCTTCAATTTAAGGTAAAATTCAACCACAAATGCCAGGGGTGGAAAATATAGTGGACAACAGGACCATTGGTCCCAGAAAATTTTTTATGCAGGCAGAAAGAAAAAAGGAGGGAAGAAAAAGGGGGAAAGAAAGGAAAGAAAGAAAAAGAATAGAAAGAGAGAGTAACTGCATGAATAAGTAGCCAATTTTGGTCAGGGACAGACACCAGGTGTAGGGGGTGCCCCCAAAATAATTTATGAAAGAACTTTGATAGCGGAATGTAGCCTCATTTGCAGGGTCTTCCCCCTTGGTTGGCTTTGTATCGTACCACTGCCCTGGTTCCAAAATTTGCTATCTGTATCATTCCCGTCCCTCAATTTCAATTCCCAATTTTTATTTCTATAGGAAACAGTAACAGCAACAGTAACAAATTACTTTATTAGGATGACTTTACATACAAGTATTGCTTATTAGTTAATATAAATATTTACAAATGCAAAATGTTTTGTGGCAGTATGACATACTGTCAGTATCGAGTAATACAAGGAATAGAAAATGAACTTATTGGTATAAAGGAAGACTTAGTTTACATACAAGTACCCTATTTACAGTATATAATTGAAGAAGTTTGGGGTTTAGTTAAATTAATCAGCCTATTCACTGTCCAGTATTCATGGCCTCAAGGCATTTAGATCTCTTCTCAAAACATAAAGAGATGAATTTCGATAATTTTATCACGGTTTCATTATCTCAACTGGTAAACTGTGTTCATTTAGATCTGCTTCATTGGTGGTATCACATTCCAAGTAATTTAAAAAGTTTTCATGAAGACTACTATAGGCTTAAGCCCAAAAGAATTCACAGGGAGTTAGGAGGTGATGTTCTGTTTAAACTTCTCCTGACTGGCATACCTTGCATACTCAGTCTTCTCAAGGAATAAACAAAAGATGGACATTACTTGTCAGGCACTTTTGGATATGGGCGCAAGGAGCTCATATGCATCAGGGGCTCTTTTGGATAGACTTAAGAAACGACCAGTGTGGAGGGAATATAAAAGGATCGAAATGATGATGCAATCCACCAGTAGAATGATTAAGGTACACAAAGTGACAATCAGTGATATGGATGAGTAGTTTAAGCTCCAAACATAAGTAACCAAAGTTGACCGAAGTAACCTACTCAGTAACTCAGTGTGGAGAATCCAGATACAAGCAAATATTAAGTAACTTCAACCATCTCAAGGGAGTCGCAATGGCAGATGTTGACGAGAAACCTCAACTCCCAATCCACTTGATATTTGGCGCAAGTGAATATGCAAAGGTCAAAACTGCAACAAAGCCTCGAGTTGGTCAACCCGGTGAACCAGTAGCAGAACTTACCAAATTTGGTTGTACCTTGTTGTCACCTGGAACCGAGGACGATCTAACCAAAACATTGTTTGCAAAATCATCAGTGGAAGATTACCGGAAATTATGTGACTTAGATGTACTTGGCTTAGAAAACCAATTGAATGGAGACAAAACAGTCCACCAAGATTTCAAAGATCAAATGACCTTGAGCCCAGAAGGATGGTACAAGACAGGGTTGTTATGGAAACCAAAAATGGAGAGTCTGCCAAGTAACAAAGCAGGAAGTTTAGCGAGATTGGACCAACTGGTTCTGGAGCATGACAAGAACCCTGAACTTTTCCAATGGTATCGTGAGATAATTAAGGAACAGGAAGAGCAGGGGATTATTGAGAAAGTGACACAACAACCACAAGGAAGAGAATTCTATCTGCCACACAAGCCGGTGGTAAGGGAGTCTGCTGAGTACAAAGGTGTGCATAGTCTACCATGCGTCATCAAGAGCCAATGACGACTCGCTATCTCTGAATGATTGCTTAGAGACGGGGCCGGTGTCACAGGAAATTTGGCCCCCCCCCCGAAAATTTGGCCCCCCCGGGCCAAATTTCCTAGGAAATTTGGCCCCCCTGGGCCATATTTCCTAGGAAATGTGGCCCCCCCTTCGGAAATTTGGCCCCCTCGAAAACATAGTTTACTTTATCGCTATAAGCTCGGAAATCGTGAAGCTTCTTCTAAAACCAAGATCCTAAAAGTGTTTGTCAGTATTTATAGTTAGTTTGCATAATTTATTTGTGTCGAAATTCTTCATTGCGGCCAAGAGCTAAAAATTTGAAGGAAAGCGTAAAAATAATAATGTGCTAGTGCAGTCATGCCAGACACATCACACATGGGTATCTGTTGAGGACAACGTTAAAGCATAATGGCTTAGCTTTAAGCTAAGGACACAAAACGATTTTTAGAGATAGGAATTTCTAAGATATTACAAGTTATTTGGATCTATAAATTTAGTCACATAGCATAAAATTAGTCAGAATAACAACGATGACATCATGCGTTGGCGAATATGTTAATATCCACGCGTCTAATAAATAACAGGGAGTAATTAGCATTAGTATAGGGTAAAAATAGACTTTTAAGTCGAAACGTTTGTTCGAAAAACAAAATCAAATGTGTGGTTATTTCGTAAAAAAAACTTTTCC